GACAAGCTTTATTCCTAATCCAGCCCCAAACCCTAATCATGAACCAGACACTGCCAGCAGAACAACAAACCTCCCCCAGTTCTGCCTAATCCTGACCCTGAGCTCTAAACCCCAAGCCCTGACCATGAAGTACCCCCAGAGCCCTTGGGAGCAGGGCAAGGACCTGCAGGGCCCAGAGAAAATAAGGGAGCTTGGGTAAAGCTGACAGGGCAACATTCCACCAGAACAGAGCATTCCCCACAGCACTGACTGAGCACAAGGCAACCCATGTGGGAAACCAGTCCCTCAGCGTCCCCGATAGCTCGATAGGAAAGAGGGTTCAGACACTTCCAAGTTGGCTGCAAAATGGAACACTTTATGAACAGGGCTCCTGCCTTTTATAGGGCAGGAGCAGAACTTGCTGGAACAAGGGGAGTAACTGGGGAGGAGCAAGGGCAGAGTATGTAAACTAGAACCATATAGTTAGAACGAGGGGAGGAACAGATTGATATGAGGGAAAAATGGCCTTATAAGGTTGGTACTGCAATGCAGCACCAACTGGCCAAGAGAAACACAGGGTTCGAGGGCATGGGGAAAAGAGGGGTACAAGGAAGGGGAACAGTACAATAACATAATACAGGAACTTAACATAAAACATAAAACACATCATTGTCTCCAAAGCCTACTCCCTACATCTCCCCCTTCATTTTATAAGAAAGCAAGTTGAAAGGAAACTTTCTTAATATGAAATAAGAACTGATTTTTAAGATATACAATAGTATATAAAAATATATGTTAATAAATGTGGGGTTTTTTTCTCTATACACTCTAAAGAAAATTACACATTAAATTATAAGCAAAACACTTCAAAACTAGCTTTGAGGTAGAATTGGTTAAGGAGATGCCTTAACCCATGGTAAGTTTGAGCTACATTCATATTTATTTTTTCCGTCATAGTTTTCACATTTATACTTGAGTAAAATGAATTTAAAAATGTGTAAAGAACTTATAACATAATAAAGGTAAAAAGGTTACCATTAAATTATTATTTAATATGAAATGTTAATAGGTACCGGGATTTTAGGGAAAGATTGGTTCTCCACAGGTGTTCACTTCTGTTTCTAAGGTCCTTCGGTACAGTCAGGTCTGGGGATGCTCCTGCCCCCCCTGGGCTTTTCCTTCCCCCCCTGGGGCCTTACGGGTCTTGCCCCAGTCCCCCGTCCCTTGGGTTCCCTTTGCCCAGTTGTGGTGACCGGTGGAGTCATTGTTTGAGGGAAAGAGGGTCTCTTTAGATGCCACTGTCAGCGTGGCCACTGCCTTTTCTATTGAAAGGCTCTCACTTGAGAGAAGTGGTAGCAGCACCAGCCCTGCAGTGTTCAGTCTAATACAGTTGGGAAAGTCAAATTTTAACTTAGAAAACTAGAAAGCATAGGAGGACTTAAAGAATAATTAAAAAAATAGTTATACACGGTCAGACATGACATTTACATAAGTTAAACAATTCAAACTTTGAAAAATATCAATATAAAATACATATAATTAAAGAATACAGTTATCTTTTAAGAATATACAGTTCTTTATGTCACTCTTACTTCAAGCTTTGCCGGTATGCAGCGATATCAAAGTGGAATTCTTCCAGATACAGAATAAGATGTTGAAAAAGGATAAAATGTATTATACTGATTTAACTTACTTAACTTAAAATTCAAAAGGATGTAAATACTCCTGTAACTTAAAAGTATTAGAGAAACTTAAAGATACAACACTTACAAAAACAATCTGCAAGATTATTTTTTTAAAGTGATATACATGGTAAACTACTGAATAAAAAGACAAACAATTCTATTACAATGTAACATATAATAAAAATCATAACTGATAGATTACACTTTAAAGAAAAGAAAAAATTGAAAAAAGTTTTGGTTCCATTTTGGTTTCGGTTATGATGTTGATGGTTTATGAAGAGATGGATTTTGATGGTTTT